CAGCATCTCGTATGATGTCGTCAGTGATAGAGTTAGTTATGGATTGCCCATAAGATGCAGGTGGATTAGGTGGAGATTGATACTGCTGATGCTGTCGATGTTGATGATGAGTAGGATGAGATGACTGTTGAGGGTGAGAAGGACGAGATGATTGTGGGTAATGATGAGTAGGACGGAATGACTGTTGAGGAGGACTAGGACGAGATAACTGTTGATGATGAGTGGGACGAGATATTTGCGGATTTGGTATCACTGTTAAGCGAGCATCGGCCAACATCGAACCAACGGCATTACCAGCCATACACGAATACGTACCATCGTCTTGTTTCGTCACCCGTGATACTGTTAGTTCACTTTCATCATCTGATACCTGCAGTGAAATGATCAATTTTATTCTTCACCTCACTGAAGCAAAATGATCACAGCACTATCGATCGTAGAAATAATCATGCAACCTTATTATCGGTTCGTATTGTGTGAAAATTTTAAAAAACTGTACGAAAAGCAATAGAATAGCTAGGGAAATTTGACTGCATGAAATACAGTTTGTGGCATTTTGAATGTAGTTTCAGGGATGAAGTTACGCAATCAACATACGTGGAAGTGTCCTCTCAGCATGGAGATTTCGCTTCCTTCAAAGAACCACGTTATTGCAGGCCTTGGCTGAGCTTTTGCCTTACACTTGAAATGAACTGTAGCACCTTCGTCGACAGTCTGCGACTCAGGTCCTTCAGCAATGACTGGTGGTGAGCTTGCGATGAGCTCAATTGATGCTGACGCTTCAATACGTCCGACAATATTCTCAGCAACACAGCTGTATCTGAAATGCATCACTCGAAAATACTGGCATTCGCAGAAGATCGAAATTTCGGCAAAAAACGGAGCAATCATTATGAATCATAACTGATCAGTCGTGAAACTCTGTTGGTTAATTATAGGTTTTCCATTCACATGATCTCCATACCTTCTTAGTTTTGCGACCTCCACCTCGCTGTTTCAATGAAACTCGTCTTCTAGGCAATCTCCCTATCATTGAGTGACATTTTCCTTCATATGAGCAGGATATCTGTTTGCTATACCCAAAAGGATTTTTATTTGTTTACTTATTCCTTAAATCACCTTAGCTATTGGAAGATGAATGAATATTTGCGTGAACATTCAATGAATGAAATTACAAACTCTCCAACGTCTCGATCCGTAAACGCACGAATAATCAGATTGGTTCGTTCGAAATTCATTTCGTGCTTTGATGAAGGTCTCAACTCCACCTTATTGAAGTACCACTTAATTTTCGGCCGAGGTTTTCCAATAACCTGAAAGTGACAATACAACTCAGATTTCGTGTACCGCATCAAAATTTCAAAGTGATTCAGTTAACACATCGCACATTCTTCTCGAATTTTTCTCGAAAAATTTTTATTTGCAGCATTCATTTCGAGAGTTCAACGGAATGAATGCATCAGTGATTTGAATGGTTTACCTCACAGTCGACTCGAACTACATCTCCCTCTCGGTAGGCTCGATTCTGTGGTCTTAGCGTGAACTGTGGTTCAAACGATGAGGTATGCAGCTGCCGACGTTTCCTATAGTTCAAAGTCTCATTAATTTAGGATTCCTTCAGATAAATGAAATGATTCGTTACTGTCAATTTTCGGAATTCGGTCACTAATATTTTTCGAACCATCTCTAAATCAGTTTGTAGTTTTAGATATCATAAATTCTGTCATCGAAATCTCAGGCAATATCCTTTCGCCAATGAACGAACGGTTTTGTGAGCGTAAAGAGTAGACGGTGAAAAACGAAGAAAACGAACCTCTGTGGTAATACCGAATGATCGATGGCACATTCGAAGTGTCGTATCTCGTCTGGGTCATCGATTCGCATTGTTCCATTCAAGAATAACTCGTAATCGCCCGAATAAGACTGCTTCATATCCAACCCTCTGACGACAAATAAGAAATAAGACTCTTGAAGCATGTCATGGAAAATTTGAAACAGGAAAACATGCACAGGCGTGACCAACGGGAGACACAGCAGGTGCCCCTTACTCAAAGGCGCAAGACAAGGGATAACGAAACAATGCGAAAAGAAGAGGGTTTTTCTTCCAATTATGAATGAATGAAGGAAAAAACATCCGATGAATTCCACATTGGAATAGTGAATATGAACCTAAGCCTAAGCCTTAGTTCAAGGTACCTAGCCTAAATCAAGAGCAGGAAGATCGATTTTTTGAAGTGAACACTGGCCTAATCCTGTACCCGAGTTGGCTTTTGGGACTATTTTAGGGTCCGTCCCTTTTCTCGGAAAAATTTCTAACTAATGTAAGACATCGAAATCCTGAGTGACTCATTATTGTGCCAAAATTTTTTCAGTACCATGGGAATTCCAGGTCAATTTCGTGATATTAGATCAAATCAGCATTCTGCAATTACAAGTTGATAAAAGCAATGAGTGGAGCTATAGCATCGCGTTTTTATACATGGAATGCTGTGGAATCCACAAAGATAACTGAGATCGCCATGCAGTAATGAAATACAAAAGTATCGCATATCTTAATCTTCAAAGGATTACATAAATACTCATTCTATTTATTTTCAATGCACTCATTCCCAGTCAAAAATGCTGTTGCTAACCGAATTGAAGCATGCATAACCGGAAATTGAGTCACAATCTAAATACTTACTTGTACAGCCATGCAACTCGATTTATGATTCGATGATTGCAGTATAGAATGGTATTGCCTTGCTGCTTTGAGAGAACCTCAACTTGATGACATTTCAATTGCTCGTTTGGGACGTCCATTAAAAATTTGTCGCGTAATGACTTGGGATTGAAACAAATCGGCGATTCACTCACCCGATCACGTAAATAGTCTATTTGAACACGCCATCTGAAATGCTCGTGTGATGAATTTGTATTATATGAATCAGTCCAGAATGTTGATTTTATGACATTGAACGACAGTTAGTGACAATTTCTAGTCGAGCTTAGCCATTCTCCATAAAGTTAGTCAAAATCATCCAGATGATTTACGCCTGATCGATAGAATGTAAATCGGAAGTTCTAAACCTATGTTCAGCATGCCTACGAGATTGCTTCATTTGTATGAATCCATATTTTAGTCTGTTCATAATTACCAGCACGCGGTTGTCATATTACAATGCGATTGATTAGTTAATTGTTTTCGGCTCATCACATTTGTCACGATCCCATTTTGTTCTCACTCAATACATTAACCGATCGGTTCTATTGTAGTCGGATAATTTGCCTGAAGACGTTTTGCCTAAAGACAGTTTGCCTATCAGACGGTTTTAAATGGATATTTTGCCCAACAGACAAACTATTTTTAGGTAAACTGTCCTTAGACAAAATGTTTTCAGGCAAATTGTCTGGTCACGATCAAAATCAGAAGTAATTCAGCATCATTTATTTCTCGAAAACTGAATGGGCCGATTGAATTTAAACGCTCATTTAAACTGCAAACTTTGTAGTTTCTGAACGATTTTTGATTATTGAATTGTGTTTGTGCATTTACTGTGACTTCAAACAGTCACAGTAAGTGTGACTTCGAACAATGTTACAACGCAAAGTGCATAACGTCACACAGTGAGCAACGTACAGTTTTTTGTCTGAACGTAAACGAAAAACAATTAGTGAAAGAGATAAGAAATTATCTCATTAAAGGCAATTAATCTGCGCAATTATCGCCCATTTGAATGTATCGATAGGTTGGTGATGTTCAATTTTCAGTTTCACCACAACGTCCACTCAATTCGATTCCATGTTTAGATGGGTGCCGTAATAAGAAGCGTCGATAAAAAGCTTCAAATAGTAGTTATTCGCCTAGAATAGGGCATTGACCCCGTTTCCGATTATAGATACCGGAACCCCCTTGTTTATAGAATTACAATGATGATTGTATACGAGCGTAATTGCTAAGTGCAACGGAAGTTCCTTTTTTAAAGTGCAATTGAATTGAAAGAAAGAGCAAGCTATTGTTTATTGATGCATTTTCCACTTAACCTTCATAATCGTCTCCCAAAACGTTGATCAAAACAAAATCATTGTTACAGGTTTTGATTGATACTTTTGAATGACTTCAACAAAGCATGTTAACTCGAATGAGGTTTGTGATGTATCTTTTTCAAAAATCACACAAATAATTCAAATGTATTCTGTTCTTACGTTTCATTATTATTGTGCCTTGTGTGATGAGGTGCTAAGAGGAAGTTTAGTGAAGGTTAGCGCTGATAAAATTTTGTTGTTGAGTGGTATCGTTAGAGAATTGACGAAATTAGAAGGTTAATAACAGAGCGAATCTTCAAAACATCGCTTAGAGTATATAGCGAAAAACGATTTAAAGCATTTGGTGTATTGATGCAGATCGCAAAGATCATTTCACTCATTTACTTACCTGCAATCGCAATTCAGTGGATTCTCTTCGAGATGCATAATACGCAAATGCGGCAGGTTTGCAAAGGTACAATCCGGGAGGGTTTGTATTTTGTTGGCGGCCAGATTGATCGAATGGATTTCCGATGATTTACGGAATGTGGCCGCATCGATCAGTTCGATACGATTCGAGTGAGCATCGAAATGTGTCAAACTGTTCGGATTCACCGAGCTCAACTTTGGTAGCCATTTGAGGAAATTGCGCGATAGCGATAGTCGCCGTAGTTTTGGAATCAGATCGAGAATGTTCTGAAACGAAAACGTGGAAGATATGTCAAGACATAAACTTTTTCTGATTTTTTGCACGAAAAAGTTTTCATTCAGTCACGAAAAGCAGCACCTCTTCAATGTGTTGAATACAGTTGTTGGAAAGAAGTAGCGTTTGCAGATGCGGTAATCCACGCAGATCGCTTCTTGAAATGTGTCGAATGAGATTGTCACGTAAATCCAAATAAATTGTATCCGCTGGAACGCCTTGTGGAAAACGATGAAACATACGTCGGCGACATTCCACTCGCTTCAAACGACACACACACCCCAGACTGCATCCATACACGTCTACAGCGAACAACTGCACCAGCAAAAGTACAGTTATTGTATGTAGCCACATCCTCTCCTGCAAACAGGCTACAATAATATTTCGCTCCTAATTTTGCGATTATCCGTACGACATACGATTCGACATCAATAACGATGATCTGCAAGTGCACGTCATCTGCCCTCCAGATGATAGCCATAAGCAATATCTGATGAAAATCCACTCAATTTACGACAATTAGCCATATAGGAACGAATTAGCAAAATTTTGAGATGAAAATTGTTCATATACTCACATATAAATAACTTTTTCTTGCTGTCTTCATAACTTCACTTAACTTTTACTCAAATTTTGTTTTTAAAATGAAAATTTACTGAAATTCAAATCGCACCTACGTACTTATTACAATGCAGTATCGCTATATAATTCACAGTAGAATGCTGAATATTGTGACGG